ACTCTTTCAGCTGACTACTACTGACAACTGTTAGGCAGGATACTGAGCTAGCTGAACTTTTCTCTGATTCATATTTCGTAAAATTAAAATTGTAATTTTATAATTATAATTGTTGGGGAAGGACGGGAGTTGCAGTGGCTGAAACTCTGCCAGGGTCCTATTGAGACTTTTCCGCAGTATTGGTCTATTAAGAAAAGTGAATATTTGCCCTGTCCCTTCAATAAATCACAGCTCTAACTTTGAACTTCACAGATTTCAAGATTTGGAGAAGGCCAAGAGTCCACCTGTGAGTCCCTAAAACATTGCAGCGCCTCCTGCCATTGCACCACTGGAGCTGTGTTGCCAATGAAGGTATGTTGCTATTAATGAGACCTTCCCAGCTGTGACTACCTCTTGAACGCCTCCACACTGGGAAAATCCCTGCAGAAGGTGATTTGTGGTAAAGGTAAAGCAGTCTCTCTGGTTATGGGGTTAATCAAGAAACCTTCTCTTAGTTTCTTCACAGGCCATGCTCTCTTTCTCAATGGATCTTGATCTTTGGGATAAAAATAAAGAATGGTGCAACTGAGATTGCTAACATCTTCCCTCTCTTGTGCATTGATTGTGGAGGATGTGTGTGGGCATATGTTCTAGTCTTGATTTACTAATCATAGAAAAAAATCACACTGCAGCTTTGTTGAAACTTGTCTTGCAAGATACTAAAAGCTGCTGTTGACTTACTAATAATAATGAAAAAAGAAAGAAAGATCTGGCTAGGTATTAACCTCATGCTAACCAGAGTAAAACATTCCTTGTACTGAGAACTGAAAGTCTTGTATTCCGTGATGCCAGAATAATAAAGAGGCTTGATACTTAGATTTTTTTATTTTTATTTTTTCCCTGACTCAGGGTGCCTTTAAAGTAAAAAAATTTACAGATGTGGTTATCTTAAAGTATTTTGTACAGGAGGCTATTTGTTAGACTAAGTTTCTTTTTACCTTTTTCTTCTCCCCCCACCCCCCCCGCCACAAAGTGTCATTGCAAAAAAATTCTTTTTCTATTGCTATTACAAATGATTAGGAAGAAATCAAATGCCTTTTCAAAGGAGTGTTGCGCTTGTTCTGCAACGGAGTCTTACTAGAGATGTTTATTTCTGTTGAATGTGTTCACATTCAGTTTTATGTCCTGCTGATAAAATTCTTAGCTTATGCTGGTCTGACAAAATAATGCTTCCAGTCTTTGGGTGTTTCTGCTCCATTACCTCGATGTTATTATATCACTATATTATTATGATGATATTGCAAACAGCTCTCCAGCAACTATTCCATAATGCCACTGACATAGCCCAGTCTGGTTACATTTTGGAGCTCTGGAGCTCTGAGTCACAAATGTTTGGACTTCTGGCTTTTATAGTGTTTGAAAATACTTCTCTTGCAAGTGCCCTGTTATGAATATTACAGTGTGGGCCTATGCAAGGCCAATGTGTACACGTTCTGCAGGAATAAAGATTATTCAGATGTTCCAGAAAGGATGAGGAAGTGTTGGATAAAGAAAAATGTCAGGAAATGCAGCAAGAGCTGTGGCAGCCTTGTCAGAGCTGCTGTTTCTCTGCAGAGCGCAGCCCCATGCCGTCTGGGGCACACCAGCAACGTTCAGCTGACAGTGTGTTCCCATGCCCCTTAGGAAAAGGCACCTTTGGCTAGCAAAGCGAAGAAAAGCTTCTGAGGGATTCCCAGAAGGCAGGTCTGTGGTAGGGTGGAGATACTTAACATACCTTCATGACCTAGCTTGAGGTACTGGAATGCAGGCTCACTGCGGGATCTGTAAAGAGATATATATATATTACCATGGTCGGACTGTTTTTAGGTCCCCAGGTTATTTCAATACATTGTGTGATGTTATCTACAAAAGATGAAAGAACTCAGGTACTTTACAAATCAAGTGTGTGTTAAAATAACTCTCCCAGTGGACTGTGGCATGCTGCTTTCTTTTCTCCTTTGTACCTCAAATAGCAACAGACTGCATGCAGATAGGGAGCAGATCACTGTAGTTAAAAGATCACCTTATGATTATGTACATGCAGCAAGAATTACAAAATAACAGAATGAATACACTGAACTATGTAGCATTCCCTATCATAAACTTTAGCAGAAAGCTGCTGTTCAAATTGAAGTAAACCACAAATGTCTTGTATTACAGTGAAAACAAAATTGGAATAAGGCTATGCACCCAGCAATACTAAGCATGTACAAAAAATTTATTGAGAAGTAGTAGAACTGCTGCTAAGCAATGTGGCAATTTGGTATTAAGACTACATAATGCTATAGGACTATTATTTGAAACGTACTTCAAATTTTATTATCTACAATAGAGTATTTTTATGTTCCTACTTCATCACAATGTTTTGGCTTCTAAGTAGGGCCAGTCCATTACCTACACATCTAGGGAAGCCTTCTTAATTGGCTTTAATATGAATTCCTGTGCTTTATCCATACTTGTGCTTCCGCATGCAGGCTATGGTTAATGGTTATGCATATCTGCAAATTGACTACCTCCTGTAATAGCTTCTTTTTCTGACACCAAACAGATTGTTGAGTGATGCAAACTTTCCCCATAAGATTGATACCCTGATTCTTCCCTCTCAAAGCAGCTGTCATTTTGGCATCCTGAGGCTGAAATAAACTTGGCGTGCAGCCTCAGGAACACAGGATCCGAAGGGCTTGCAGTCACTGCTGACGGGCACAGGCTTGTACTATGACCTGATCCCACTGCGTGGTGATTGCCCTGCCATGTGTAGTTGGTCAGCAAGTGCTTGTAACATCTGTTCATTGTTGTTTATTGTCTGCAGAACACTCATCTGCTCAGATTTCTTTTCTAGTTGCTGCACACCTGGTGGATCTGGTAGTTGTATTTCCACAAATACAGACAAATCAGTTCCTTCTCCCAACAATGGTCAAGTTGGCTCCAGGGGTGACAGTAAAGGGATTGAAAACTGGCATGTTGAAGGCTGGAGTGGAACAGAGAGAACTCCTGGAGTCTTTAAATATTATGTGAAAATGAAGTGATGAAGTGGAATAGAAGGAATTTTTTGACACTGAACACTTATTCTCTGATAAGTACAGCTGCAACCCACACTGTACTGCAAAAATTCCCAGAGATGGAGAGTCAGAAAGTGTCATGAGGGACATTAGTGCTTACTTACAATGAAGCATGCTTTTTACTATCAGAGCGTGTTACTCAAAGGATGGGGACTGTCAACCAAATGTGCATATGTTCTGGTATCCCAGCTCAGCAGCTGATTGCTGTGCAGAAGTGAACTTGTGAATTTTCAGGTTTAGACAGGGCTTTCATAACAAGGCAGAGGAGGAGGGAGAATTCAGAAACCAGATCTGACTGTGGGTTCTGCTGCAGCTTTCCTTTGTGATACTGGGGCACTCTCTTGCCTTTAAGTAGACCATCAATCTTTTCCACTTGGAAATGGAGATTATAATACTGCTATACCTCACAGGGGAAGAATGAAAATGCTTTGAGATAGTCCTTTATGTTCTGCATGGAAAACACATCATTACTGTAGAATAACTGCGTTTTATTTGGTTAATGTTAAGAACAGATCCACAGTAAAACAGGTCAGTGTACCTTTATTTGCACTCAAGAAGCAAATAATCATGCCTTGATCTAACTGCCAGTTAGTTGCTGAATTGCTTAAAAGTGGACCTTGATCCTTGGAGATGCTGGTTGACTTGAGAAAAAGTTGAGTAATAGGAACTGATGCATGCATTTCACTCAATGTGGTCAGAAATTCACAGAAGTTTACTTGCTTGTGTGCTGGAAAACATACTGTTTCTCTGGTATGTACTAAAAACACACACCCAGTAGTAAAGAAAGCAATATATGTGTGCCATGCAAGAAATGATAGGAAAGGTACAGCCCTAGTGAAAACTGAGAACACCTCTCCCTGACTGTATCATCTTACCTTCCTCAGTTGTTCGTGTTCCCTGATGTATGGAATGAGCTCGGATAGGTTTGGGGTGTTCTCTTTGGGACTGCTGGCATGAGAGACACGTAAATAAGCAAGGCGGAGAACTCCCAGCACACCCACACAGGGACTGTTAATTGCAGTTGAAGAAAATATATGTAATTGTTATAATGTGTATTTTAGATTAGTTCCTCTTATCACATAAAATAAGACTGGGCTTGTTTAAATGTGAATACCATACGGAAGTTCAAAACCTGATTTTTAGAACTCTCAGAAAGAAAATTTCTTGTGACAGAATTAATCTGGAGAGAATGACCAAGCAAGTGATGGTCTGAAAATAAACATTAGACTAGTTACAGTGTATAGAAATGTGGAAATGTGTTTGTGCCATAAATCTTTCACCAGTTTATGATGTTATTGGAATAATTGTTTAAAACTCAGTGCCTTAAATCTTGATTGCCTACAAGGCACAAGTCATTTTGCCTTTTCCTAGGAAGGGCACTTGAAATTTAAATGTATAGAAAGTTGGGGAAAAAATAGTGAGAAAACTGAATACACAGTGAATACAAAATTCGAAACTGCATTTGCAACCTTTCCAATACAATATAAAAATTTGCACTTTCATAATTAACGAATGACCTTTCCTTCCTTGCCCCAGATTTTAGTTGTTTGC